CTTCCTGACCCGAAGTAGGCCTACATTTGGCTCAAGGTCATGCCGTTATCTCTAACCTTATATTTTCAGGTGATGTAACATTCCCTACCAGTCTTTCAGACGGACAATGGCATCGAATTGCAATTAGTGTAGGAGACAGGGCAATTGTCATGGTGGCCGACTGTCAAGAACAGGTCCGCCGTGAGTTTGTGCTGGCAAAACCGAAAGATTTTCCAAAACTAATAAATACTACAGGTATTACAGTACTTGGTAGTGACTTCAACGACGGCTCGTACTTCAGAGTAAGTCATCTATCTGTGTGCGGTTTGTAGATGATTTTGTTATATAATCGCATTGTGTGCTGCGGGGCAATGGCGCCAGTACGCAGAGAGCCTGCGATTGGCCTTTTCGAAATTCAGGGACTGGTGTTTAGTCAGTTTCGTGTGAAGCCATCGAAAGACAAGAAAGAGCGGGCATGCTAAAATACATATATGTTATTTACCGGCTGGGAGGTCCGTATAGGAAAACACTGCCCGATCGGGTCTTGACAGTACGGATCGAGCGCAGCGAGATCCGTACATAAAAGACCTTGGGCAGTGTTTCCCTATACGGATCGACCTATAGCCGGTAAATAACATTTTATTTGCTCGCAGCCTTGCTGCAGGATACCATGGACCGAGCAGACCGTGAAAAACCGGACGGCGTGCTAGCCAATCACAGCGCGCGAATGACTAGGATTACGGACCGAAAAAAAAAACGTATGGTTACCAAGTTTGAAAGTACTACAGAGTTTCSAGTGTTTTAAAAAACACGAAAAAACAACGAAGAGTGAATGGGTATTTGAGTGGTGTCACCAAAAAAACTTTCACTCCACTCTAGTATAGCAGTATGTGTATACTCGTTTGTAGTCAAGTGGTATATCTCTCACGCCCAAAATCAAAATCATGACACGGCGATCCAGTTTTGAATAATCCAGTTTCGAATTCTCCAATTCTCTGTGATAGCCTCATTTGTGCCCAATCCAATTCCAATTCCATTTCATTGTCTTTTTCTCAAATTCCATGTGCTTTCTCGGGCTATCAATGAAACAAAAGAATATGTTACTTGGTTTTGAGGCTAACACAGAGCAAACYAGAACTCGAAATTGGAGTATTTCGGAAAGGTGAGACWGCGGCCTCCCATTTCCCGTCATGCGCCATTCCCTTATATATTTCTATTTGTTATTTTAGGGCGTTCTTCATGATCTCAGAATAGTAGAAGACGCGAAGAAAATGGGACTTTATTGTTTGGAGTTTATTCCCGATTGTGACCGACCCCTCCCTAGTGTGGTTCCCTTCAAGAGCAGAAGAACACGTCAAGCTGGYGGCATTCCCGAGAGACCAGGCACTGTTACCATTGGCAACACAAAATATGTAAGATTAGAAGCAAAATTATTTGAGATTTAAGTAGTAGTAGGGTGTCAATAGTGGATCCAGAAGGTTACAGTGGGGGTGGCTAACTCAACAGAAAAAAATCGTAAATGGATAGACTTAGGACTTATGGTTAGACTAATTAAATAATT